GGCTCTAGAGCATAGGCTCAGTACATGTGGCTCCTGGGCTTGGTTGCTCTGAGCCGTGTGGGATCTTCCTGCACCAGGGATCGAGCCCACGTTTCCTGCATTGGCAGGTGGATTCTTTATCATGGAGCCAGTAGGGAAGCCCAGATTGACATTATTCTTAATCTGGATTATGATAGTAAACTGAGTGGAAGTAAAATCCACTTTTCTTACATTAATAACTTTGCATGAAGGTTCACTCATTGTCTTAAGTCATATATGAAAAATTTCAAATATACAAACTAAATGTCAAGATCAATGAACCTATTGTGTTAACATCTTCATAAAATAATAACTAAGCCCCAGAACCTTAGAAAAACTCTTGGTTTAGTGGTTCCCAGACTTTTAGATTTCATGGAGCAGTTAAAGTGGGAGTTAATATGGGGCTGTCAACATTTTATTTTGCCAAGAATATTGAAACCAACTAATACTACTAACAATAGTATTTCATAAAATAATACTTCAATACCATAAAAGTAGGGATTAATCATGTAATAAAAATGGAGTTCGGGTTGATCATCTGTCAACCTTTTTTTTTGCCCCTTTAGGGATGCTGAAATTTTAGTTGTAGCCTAGAATTGGGGAACAAATGCCTAACAGGCCTGTTCCAATTAAAAGGCTAAGAGGTGGCTTTGCCTGACATCAGTTGGTGTTAAAATTGGGGAGGAAAAGCACAGCTCCTGACAACTTGTAGAGTAAAATACCCTGACAGATACCCAAGCATTAAACATGTTGTTAATTAGGAGGAACCATAACCAATTAAAAAAGTTATGTATTTATTTGGCTGAGCCAGGTCCTACTTGCAGTGTGCAGGTTCTTTAGTTGTGGCATGTGGGATCTTCTACTAATAGTTGCTGTGTGTGAATTCTTAGGTGAGGCATGTGGGATCTAGTTCCTTGGCCAGGGATTGAACCCAGGCCCCCTGCACTGGAAGTGTGGAGTCTTACCCACTGGACCACCAGGGAAGTCCTACCAATGTTCATCTTAAAATCTTTGATAACTGATATTAAAATCAAGTAAATCCACCTACTTGGTAGAAAGAATTGGTGTATTGACTGCACCTGTTATAATGTCAAGGAAAATAACCCCAAGTCATAAATTATCATAATAATATAACCTATGTCATAGATGATATAATCCAGACTATGAGCTTTTAATTCTATAAAGTGTTTTGTTCTCAATTACACGGTCTATAATAAATGCTTAATAAATATCTGTATGAATAGGTGTATATCACTCTAAATAGCTGCAAAACAATTTCTTCATAACATTAGAAACTTCCCAACCTGGCAGATTCTTACTGCAGAAATCTATCAAACATAAATGATATAAAGAAAAAAAGATGGTGATGATATGGGGGAGTCCCACTTGCTTGATCTCTAATCAAAGGAAAAAGCAGTTAGAAGTTTTAAGGTGTTTAAGTGAGAGCAGTAACTGTATACAGCACTTACTTTACTTTGTAGGTTAGTAACATGAAAAGGTTTTAAAATCCTAAAGGAATTCTAGTTCAAAAGCATGTAATCGAATTTTACATGGCCCTGGAACTACATTTATCTAATCAAATGCTACAGTAGATCTGCCTTTCACAATAAGGTCATCATTTCCAATTTTACCATAAACATACTCACCCACCTATACCATTCATAAAGTTTTGAGAATTGGCACTAGTTTTTTTTTTCTCCCACTAGCTATAAAAATGCATGACACATAATTTATCATTTTAAATTCAAAATTAAGACTACAGAAGAATTCACTGGTGGTCCAGTGGTTAGGACCCACAACTTCCACAGCAGGGGGCACGGGCTCAATTCTTTGTCGGGGAACTAAGACCCCACATGCCATGGCCAAAAAAAAAAAAAAAAAATACAGCTTAGTCTGTTTAAAGGATGTCCTTTCATCAGTAAATCTGGGAGCTCATAGATGTATTTTTCTTTAAAGCAATTCACCTTTAAAAGTATGATGCTATTGCTGACCTAGTCATACTTATTAAAAAAGGGGGGGGGTGGGAAGGGGCATGAAAAGTTTCATCCTAAGAATTTTACAGGTAGAATCAGTTTGTAGTACTATCACCAAAGCTCTGCCTCTCTGTACAACTGGTGCCACTCAAACCCCAGAGACGGTTTTGCATGTAGTAGAAAGGATGACTTTTATTGTTTTACCAGGCAAAGGGAGACAAACCTGGCCTCACCCTTGAAACACTGTCTCAACTGGAGAGCTTGATGAGGGTTTTTCTAACAGTGGATCAAAGGTGGTCTCTGATAAGGGACTCCTAATCTTGATGACTATGCCAAAGCCTTTGACTGTGTGGATCACAATAAACTAGAAAATTCTGAAAGGGATGGGAATTACCAGACCACCTGACCTGCCTCTTGAGAAATCTGTATGCAGATCAGGAAGCAACAGTTAAACTGCACAAGGAACAACAGACTGGTTCCAAATAGGAAAAGGAGTATGTCAAAGCTGTATATTGTCACTGTGCTTATTTCACTTATATGCAGAGTACATCAGGAGAGACACTGGGCTGGATGAAGCACAAGCTGGAATTAAGATTGCCAGGAGAAATATCAATAACCTCAGATATGCAGATGACACCACCCTTATGACAGAAAGAACTAAAAGCCTCCTGATGAAAGTGAAAGAGTGAAAAGGTTGGCTTAAAGCTCAACATTCAGAAAACTAAGATCATGGCATCTGGTCCCATCACTTCATGGCAAATAGATGGAGAAACAGTGGAAACAGTGGCAGACTTTTATTTTTGGGGGCTCCAAAATCACTGCAGATGGTGACTGCGGCCATGAAATTAAAAGACGCTTACTCCTTGGAAGAAAAGTTATGACCAAGCTAGACAGCATATTAAAAAGCAGAGACATTACTTTGCCAACAAAGGTCTGTCTAGTCAAGGCTATGGTTTTTCCAGTAGTCACGTATGGATGTGAGTTGGACTATAAAGAAAGCTGAGTGCAGAAGAATTGATGCTTTTGAACTGTGGTGTTGGAGAAGACTCTTGAGAGTCCCTTGGACTGCAAGGAGATCCAACGAGTCCATCCTAAAGGAGATCAGACCTGGGTGTTCATTGGAAGGACTGATGCTGAAGCTGAAAGTCCAATACTTCGGCCACCTGATGCAAAGAGCTGACTCATTGGAAAAGACCCTGATGCTGGGAAAGATTGAAGGCAGGAGAAGGGGACGACAGAGAATGAGACGGTTGGATGGCATAACTGACTCAATGGACCCGAGTTTGGGTAAACTCCGGAGTTGGTGATGGACAGGGAGGCCTGGCGTGCTGCGGTCCATGGGGTAGCAGAGTCGGACACGACTGAGTGACCGAACTGAACTGAATCTTGATGAGCTTCTTTGCTCCCTTTAATCTTGCCTCAGGTGATTTCTTGGTTGCTTTTCTCTTGATTTGCAACTGTTCAAATCCACCCTTTGGGACTCATGGAAGGTCATAATGGCGGGCATCTTGCCTAATAAGAAATGGGGGACAGAAAGGCCTGGGAGAAAGCCCCACAGGGTCCCACTCAGTTTCAGTAACTTTAGATTTTGTGAAGATGTGTCTTGAAGACAAGTTCAACTAAGTCACGTGCACTGCTTAAAAACTGGCACACACAATTTTGGGATCAACTCTATCGTAATATACAAAGCCATATGTTAAAAAAAGTACCAATGACCATATTTAATACAAGAACACTGATGTTTGGTTTCACTGACTCCTGTTACTTCCAAGGAAATTCTGGATTCTACCAAGTAGAAACATGACTGATTACTACTGAGAATTCAAGCATCTGCAAAGAAACGAGTTTACCTGTTACCTTTGTCAATTTCCAACTATGTCTGCCTATATATGTGTGTGTGTATACATATATATATATAAACTATTCCTGTCTTCATTATTTTATTGCTCCTAATTATTTTTTCATATTTTTTTCTAAATCAGCAATGAAATGCAAAGTTACTGGTCTGTCTTTGAAGAATATTACATAAACAAAAACTTGTCTTCAAATTTTTGCTTTTAAGATTATATAATTTAAGAGGATATGATTCTTATTTTTCTCCCCAAAATAGTTTCTTTTGTAACCATATGCCTGGTGATTTAGAATGAGGGAATAAAAACCTTCCCATGCCTTTGATCTACACTCATTATCACTATTTCTGCCAAGGATATGTGTTTAGCATTCAAGAGACTTGGCATTATGTGCCCCAATTCCTTCAGTGTCCCCAGTTCAAGTGCTTGCCACTCCTTGGTGAGAATTCTGGAACATAACATTTTAAGACATCCTTCATGACAACTTAAAATCTCTTATTAATTTGATCTAAATTTCCACTATTGGTTTCCTTAATGGATTGATTAAATATCCAGGAAGATGAATACAAAAAAGTTACTGTCCCTTTATTACTGACCTGGCCCACTTATAATTAAGCAGAATTAACATTCAAAGTTCATTTTGATTGAAAACACAGGAACTGTATTTTCTTAGTATCAGTACTACAATCAAGAAGAAAACCAAGGTCATAATAGTTTTTCCTAGATTGTTATTAGGAGATTAATGTAGCTTAATCACACCCATTTTACTTTCTAGGCTAAGTAATATTAAATGGTGATTAATTCTTCTTTGAAACTTACAAGTACAATCTGCACATACATGATTTTGAGAATAATTTAATACGTTAACTTTGACATACAACTATATTCTAATGTCAGTTTTAATTGTAAAGAAACATATCCTTACAAGACCAAAATAACCCACAGGCCATGAGATTGGTGTTTTGTTTTTCCTTTTTTGTTTCAAGAGATGTGCACCACAATGGTTCCACATGTAAGGCAAATGCCGTGAATATGAAAGCTATAGTTTACCACACATCTAGAACCCAGGGGAGGTGAATCAGATGGAAGTGGTAGTCATTCTAATTAATCAATCAGGAAACATCATGACAAGTTGGTTTGCAGCATCAAAAGTGTCCATTTAAGTGTCTTTTTTCTTAATGATCAGAGGTCCCACGTTGTCTCCAGTTTCTTCATTGTGTTTTGTGTGAGATCCATCACAGAGTGGGAACTAGGAAGAGAAAGAATGTGAAATGTCTAACTGTAAAATCAGTATTATGTTTGGCAGAGTAGGGTGACACTTAATTCACATGTATAACTCGATATCTCAGTAGACTTTTCTTGGCTACCTTAGAGATGGTTTTCTGAATGAGCATATGTAAAGTGAACATACTAAGGAGGAGGAAGAAATTGACTTGTGGATAAAACACATTAGCTGCATTTCCATCTGCTTATGGATGAGAAAAACCTTTTTAATGTTTATGTATTAGTCATATTTCCTTTCTAGTGAATAGTATCCCTGACCTATCTACTGGAAAGAGTCTAAGTTCATAATTTGTTCAAAATCAATCTGTTCATTATCCTTCTGCTAATCAACTTTATAGCAATTTTTCACCCCAACCCTTTTTAATTTGCTTATTTGTTCATATACTTAATTTCTCTATTTTCATACAAATAAGCAAGTACTTCCCTTGTTAACATCCGTCATGGAGACTTCTTTCTCCTGGAGATGTGATAAATTTCCATTTGTTTTCCTTTTTTTTTTTTAAATTTTATTTATTTTTATTTTTTTCATTTATTTTTAGTAGTTGGAGGCTAATTACTTTATATCATTTGTTTTCAAGATCTCACATTTTAGATAAAACAGACATTTTGGTGTCCAGTGGGAGGAAAATGGACAAAATTAAATACCTAACATGGTGTTTCCCAAAGTGAGCTCTATAAACTAAGAAGTCCTGCAAAATATTCTAATTTGGTTTCATTTTGTACACAAAAAACATATACAGTTCTCTTGATTCACAACATATACTGTTATTTTAAAGAGGATCTACTATTAAAAACACACATACATGGGGTGGGAGATGGGAGGGCTGGTTCAGGAGGGAAGGGACATATGTATACCTGTGGCTGATTCATGCTGACGTATGGCAGAACCAACACAATATTGTAAAGCAATTATTCTCCAATAAAAACATACACAGATACACACACAATTTTAACCTCAAATTTCCCAGGCTGACTGGATTTACAAACACTTCTCCTTTGATGTCCATTATCATCATGTTCTGCGAAATGCAATTTGCAAAATGCTGTTCTAAGAACAGCACTAAGAAACTGTTGCTTCAGTATTATTAGAAGTGGTTACCTCCCAAATTGTTATACCTTTATTCAAAATTTTATCAAAATTAAGTCTACATATAAAGTGTTTATTTATAGTTCCACATTATCATATTCATCAGCCTACTATGAGATAATGACTGTGTTTAAAACTGCTTCAATATTAGGCAGGGCTGGTTTTCCTTCACATTTCTTCTTTGTTAAAACTTTCCGATTTATCCTTTACCTATTTATTCTTCCAAATAAATTTGAGAGTTTTTGGGCCAAGTCCTATTTTATTTCTCTTCTGTTCTTCATCCTCAGGTCTCATGCATTTTTCTGATAAGAACATTTCTGCTTTATATGTTTTACAGGTATTAAGTATATATTTTCATATCTGACTATTCTTGATATATATCACATATATATATATAAATAAATATTTGTGTGTGTGTGCCTGTATATCACTTGTTTTTTGCAAGTATATACTTCTGTTGTTAAATGATAAAAATAAGAACTCAACAATGTTTTTAGGTGTCTCCTCAGGATTTTACAATTATCAGTAAATTATTTTCTTTCCTTCTATATTTTACCTTTGATTTTTATTTCATGTCAAATGATGATACCTAGCATATTTGTTTTATTCTTTTTGTCGGGAACGTACCTTCACTCTAGAATCTAGCTTCACTGTTTGGTATAAGGTACACTCTTCCACTGAAGGAACCTATTTAGAAGAGTAAAGTACTAGGAGTCTTGGTCTGAAGAATAAAATCACCTTATTATTCCATCAAGGAAGTATAATTTTCAGTACCTGAAACTAGACAATGATGGTATATAATCTTTAACTTTGATGAAATGTGTCTAAGACTAAAATAATATTTAGTTGATGTTAAAGAAATTCAATCTTAATTTTACTATCTGTATATAATTCTGAGAGGCAGTAAATTAGTTAAAAACTACCTTGAAAAAAACTCAAAAAAACCCCCCAAACTCAAGGTATTATCATATTGTAAACTTCTAGATGTAAAGTCTATCCTGGGGTAGCAATACAAATGCGATATATATGAAATTTATGTTGTTTCTGTCAATAAGATGTGGCACAGTATATTCGTATTAAAAACAAGTCCTTGCAGCAAAAACATGAACTCAAAGCTTTCAGGGTTTTCTTGCATGGATGACAAAACAGGCCATACAAAAATCAAATCAAAATCAAATGTATTCCACAGCAAAGAACAGCATTTCAAAGTGACATATATTTAATATACAAACACAGGTGATTTTACAGTGAGAAAAAAGGTTTGCATTGTAAAAAAAAAAAAAACCCTCCATTTTTATAAATTGGGATCGACATATACACACTACTATATATAAAATAGATGAACTACTCTGTAATGATTTATGCGGGAAAAGAAACTAGAGTGGGTATACATATATGTGTAATGGATTCACTCTGCTGTACATCTGAAACACAACACTGTACACCAATTATACTCCCCTCCCCTCTCCCAAAGGGCTGCCCTTGTGGCTCAGCTGGTAAAGGATCCGCCTGCAATGCAGGAGACCTGGGTTCGATCCCGAAGCTGGGAAGATCCCCTGGAGAAGGCAACAGCTACTCACTGCAGTATTCTGGCCTGGAGAATTCCATGGACTGTATAGTCCATGGGGTCACAGAGTCTGACACGACTGAGTCATTTTCACTTACGTTTCTCCTCCCAAAAAAAAAGAGTGACTAAGTAGACCTTGGCTATTTCTTAATTAACTTTTATGCTTTTTTAAAAGTATATAAAGCTTTGCATGCCTTTAAAATGTAAACTCAGGATTCAAAATCACTCTGTTCAGAGGCACATATATCTTTTAATAGTACTTCCTATACTACCTAACATTAGTCAGAATAATCTCCCAAACTTCATGTGAAGATCAGGCATTCTATATTTATGCATTAGAGATTTCTTATTTTAAGATGATGAAAAGACCTGACTTTTTTTTCCCCCACAAACAACAAAGAGCCAAAATGAGTTACTTCAAGAAAGGGTTAGCAATTTCATAAGAATATGCTGTATGTATTAAAGAAATATATTTATTAAAATTAACTCATATTTCTGAATAGAGTATAAACTAATGAATGGTAATTATTGGTACAAAAATTCAAGTGGCAAATTATCTGACAATATTTGTGTTTTTTAGAAAGTGTCTCATTTCATTTTTAACCTTTCTGTGCAGGAGAAAGAAAACATGTGGTGGATATATACTTTTGAGCATAATCTAGGAAGTACAGCAGTTTTTGTATTAAATAATAATGAAAACATGAATTTTATTAGCCCTCTTTCATTTAAAATTTTAAATGTGTTAAAAATGTCAAGCAAAGGGCTGAAATTAAAAAAAAACCACAAAGGGTATATTTAACTCAGCTCATGTAGTACCAATACTTAAAAGAATCAGAAAACTGATGAGGAGAAAACGTTTAGCTCACAGATGATTCTAAATTTGTTCTAAGATTTCACTGTTTGTTTATTAACAAATCCTGGAGAAAATTTTGAGAATTAAATTGGCTGAATTCTCTGTATGTTCAGAAAATATCCTATCATTTGTTAACCCAATTAGAAAATTACAAATCCCAAACAGCTTTACAACTAGAGAAGACAGGGTGTGGAGAAGAGATGGGAATATATGTTTAGGGGAAAAAACTCTATAGAGATTCTAGAAAATCTTGGAAAGCTAGCTTGAAAATCTTGCTTGGAAAGCTAGCAAACTCGGCAGGATGTTCATAAGAAAACACAAAATGTGTTTCTTCTTAATGGTTGGTTCTAATGGTTGGTAACGGAAATTAAGCTGTTTCTGTTTTTAGGGAGATTCAACATGAAGATAAATAAATATTCCTTATTGAATTATCTATTCTACTTGTAAAAATTAAAAAAAAAATTGAATCTTCCTTCTCTAAACTCTGTATTTTTAGTTAGAGTTTGGATTATAATATCCAAGGAGGCTGCCTGGGGCCATTTGGCTCATTACCATAAATTGTTCTGAGGAATGAACTTGTTTTGGTAGAGAAAGAAAATAAAAGCAAAGATATCTTTCAGACTACAAGAGAGAATATGACATTTTATACCATTCTTATGTACTTAACTTTAGCAAAGTTAAGCATAAGATAATAGGAAAATACTTAAGAAAAAATTAAGACTTTACAAGACTGTCTTCATATGGATTGAGCAAGTGATGTAACCAATGTTTAGAATATCGTGTCTGTGAAGAAAGGGAGTCAGTGCAACGCACCTCTAACCATTAATGGGATGGAGACTTTCCATAATCACACCCCAGCCCCCCAAAACAGAAACAAACCCACCACAAATTCTGAAGTTGTAAAGCAAAGAAAATGATTCTCCAGTTACATTTCATTTCAGTTTCAGCTGAGCTCCTGATAAGAACTGGCTCATCTTTCCTCTTATTTCTTGGTCCGCTTTCTCCTTCGGTCCTTGTTCAAACTTTCTCCTGCCTACCCAACGGCCACCACACAACTGAGTAAATGATGTAACCTATTGGAGGTGCGTAGGGGGTGGGGATCTAGTAAGACTACTGAACACTGTTCCCTCTGATATCAAGGTTCCCTCACCTTGTCTGGAAAGACTCTTTCTTGTTAAGGCCAAGTCTCAAATCACTGCTTGTACTCTTGCTTCCTTCCACCCTCTCCACACACCACTGTCTCAGATGGGATTTCTCCCGGTAGTTGTTTTAATCATTTCCTCCGTAGTGGCTCCCTTTTCTCTCACTTTACTTAGGGATAGCCCTCTTGTGAAATACCAAGAAACAGGCCAGTTTCTGAAGAGCAGAGCCAAGCCAGTGGGGCGGGGTGTGGCTGGGAAGAGAGGAGCATGCATGTTAAAAGCATGTCATTTCTGAACATGACTAAGAGATCTGATTCATTAGGTCTGAGAAAACTGCTCAAAATGTTAGAAACACCCAACAGATTACTAGTGACTGTACCTTAAGAATGAATGAGAGGAGAGATGGACAAATTAAGAGTATGGGATTAACAGATATAAACTACCACACATAAAAAATAGATAAGCAATATGGATTTACCATAGAGCACAGAGAATTATATTCAATATCTTGTAATAACCTATAATGGAATATAATCAGCAAAAACTCCCCAAAACTGAATCACTACAGTGTACACCTGAAACTTACACAGTATTTTTTTTAACTTTTTATTTTGTATTGGGGTATAGCTGATTAACAAGCAGTGTTGTGACAGTTTCAGGTGAATAGCAAAGGGACCCAGCCAAACATATACATTGAAACTTACACAATATTGTAAACTACTATACTTCGATAAAAAAAGAAGGAATTAAAATTGAATTAGCTTATATCACATGCAACTCTTTTTTTTTGGATAGGAGTTTAAATTTTGTTACATTATTAATATTATAAAAAACTGGTTTATATGAAGAAAAACTACTGAATATAAACTCAATATAGCCATCTAATCAAAGTTATTGGTTATAAGCCTTCTGTGCATAGACATGTAAACATGACTTGGCACCTGTGTGACAACCTTAAGAACCTCAGGAATGTGCGGACTTTCCAAAAATTTCTGGAGAGCAAGCACATCCACTAATTCGGAAAGCATTCAAAGTGATCTCTGAATTCACTCATGTGGGAATAAAAAGTGCCCAAGCTTCAGTGAAAATTTAGAACTGACAAATCATAGATGCAAAGAGGATTAATAATGACATAAAAGACTAGCTTAAAAAGAAAGAAGACATTGAGAAAATTGAAACATTTAAACCATTAGTTTGTGTCCATTTGTGATTTTTCCTGAAATACTTGAGATTTTAGTTCGTAAAAGTCCATATTTGAAAAAAAAAGTCCATATTTGCTTTACTGACCTTTTGTTGCTGTTGTTCAGTCACTTAGTCGTGTCCAACTCTTTGTGATCCCATGGACTGCAGCATGCCAGGCTCCTCTGTCCTTCACCATCTCCTGGAGTTTGCTCAAATTCATGTCCATTGAGTTGGTGATGCTATCTAACCATCTCATCCTATGCCACACCTTTCTCCTTTTGCCTTCAGTCTTTCTCAGTATCAGGGTTAATGCCAATGAGTTGTGTCTTTGCATAAGGTGTTCAAAGAATTGGAGCTTCAGTTTCAGCATCCGTCTTTCAAATGAATCTTCAGGGTTTATTTCCTTTAGGATCAACTGGTTTGATCTCCTTGCAGTCCAACCAACCAACCAAAGAAAACACTCTTTACTTGGCTTCACTCAAGCAGTCATTGTATTTCTTTTTCTTTCCATTCAGTGTCATATTTACACATTCATACTGTAACCAACTTGGACACAGCTCCTATTCTAATTATTCTGTCCAAATGATGCCAAAAGGTCAATTGCTTAATTGCTTACCCCACAGTCTTAGTATAATAGTCTATTCACCTTCTTGTCTTTTGCACATGCTGACGTTTATAACAAAATCTTCTTTGAAATTTTTCTCTTTTTCACACTGAAGCCATGATATTCTTAGTTTACATTTAACTCTGGTGTCCATTTCATCTCCTTTTTTGGCTCTTTTTCCTTTTTAGAAGATGCAGAAAATTCTCCAAAGATTTCTTACTTAGCCCTTCCTTGATTTTTGTCTGTATCAAGAATCTGCTGCCTTCTTACCCTTGACTCACAGTTCTGCTGATTGCCATCTCCAAGCCTGATGTCTCAACTTTAGTCCCACACTTCAGACTGTCTGCTGTATGTTTCCATTCAAATGTCACCTCAATGTCGCTCTTTGAAATTGCACTCTTCATTGGTGTGCTGAAAAATCAGCCATTCACTCCGAATTCCTTATTTCCATTGATGGTACCATCTCATCCAACCCTACAATCCTATCTTAAGCAAGACACTTCAGTGAGCTTCAGTTTTCCTCCCTCAATCTTCTGCACAAATCATTCACAGCTAATCCTTCCTTCACTGGCTAATCCTTCCTTCAAAATGTTTCATGTATCTGTTCGTTTTTCTTCATTCCCACAGTAAGCACTCTGGTTTAAGTATAACTTTATGTCTGAACTCCCTGACAGGGAGCTCCCCCTTGTTGGGAGGCAAACTCCTTGCGAAGGTGAAACAGGAAGGAAGTGGGTAGGGCACAATCTTGAAAAGAATGATGTAGCCCAAGGACATGACATAAACTGATTAGAACCAAACAGGTCCAAGATGGCGAACAAGTCAACTTCCACTAGAACTTAAGCCCCCATATAAGATCACTGTAATACTGGGTTCCAGTCCCCACCACATGGGCTACAGTCCCAAGCAGGGTTCTCGCTGAGTTCGAGACCCAGCACATGGGTTCAAGTTCCAGTTTGAGGTGAACTGTTTCCTTGGTACTTAAGATTTTTGATTTGGACTTATTCTTTCGAGGAAGGAGGTGCAAGGACCAGACTAGAGTCTTCATTGATTCGTCTTCCCAGGGGGCAATTGAACTCCTATGGATATCACTATGTTTTTCCAGAAAATTCGAGCCATAGTGTAACAAGCTCGCTATTTATTTAAAGCACTCATAGTGCACCAACTATACATATCTATGACACCTGCTGTTTCACTATTTAAGTGTTCCCACGCATGTATCTAGTAATAGAAGCTAAATGAACTATTTAAGATCACTGACTAAAGAACCAATACAACTCTGGACTTAGAAATTCCTTAATTTCTAAAGATATTACTTTTTATATCTTGGTGAGCAACTACAGAATGAAACCTATTATAGGTGTTAATTAAAAAAAAAAACAGATCTAGTCTATAGAATATTATTGAGGATTATTTTCTAGCAACCTCAATAGTATGTATAAACAATCCCACACTCCAAATGAACAGTGTTCTTCTGAAGGAACAATTTGTTGTAATGTGACTATTAATTTTTGGTTCATATTCCGTATGTTCATCAAGCAGTTTTCAAGCAGAATGACATAATCTAAGTGGTCTATCACCATTGGATTATACAACATCAACTGCAGCCAGAGAAGGGGGTAAGTAGAATATGCTTTCTAGTACCTGGTATGTGACTTCTTCCTTATCTGCAACATGTAATTTGTGATAATGGCTTTCCACTGTGGGACAAGGTCCCTGATACAACTTGCTTTCAGAAATAGACACATCATTTTTATTGTCTATGTTCTTAGGCCTGATGGTGTCAAATCTATTTTATTTAAATGCTAAATAGTGGAAGTACGCACAGTATGTCATCATATTTCTCTAAATATACCAGAAATTCTAAAGTCATTCAATGTATGAAGCTTTTCAAGATGACCGTAGAAGAACATTTTACCATCTTTAGGTCACTAGCTGTCATCACTATCTAGAAGCTGCAGGTATCACAGAGATACTTCCAAATGGAACTTGATAAAATTCAATTCTCACAAAAGAAAAAAGATACAAAAAAATCTTGGGTTAGATATTCAAATGTAGGAGTTGCAACTTATACAAAGCTTAGGATGCAGGGTCAGTACTAGGTAAGAAATCTTCAGGGGCAATTTTCTAACAGTTTCTCTTGATATTTCTTTTTTTTTAAACTAGCATTTAATTTTTATGTTTAAAAAAAAACTTTTTATTTTCTGTTGAGGTATAAAGCAAAGTAAAGTGAGTCACTCAGTCATGTCTGACTCTTTGCGACCCCATGGACTGTACAGTCCATGGAATTCTCCACGCCAGAACACTGGAGTGGGTAGTAGCCTCTCCCTTCTCTAGGGGATCTTCCCAACCCACGGATTGAACCCAGGTCTCCTGCATTGTAGGTAGATTCTTTACCAGCTGAGCCACAAGAGAAGCTTAAGAATACTGGAATGGGTAGCCTATCCCTTCTCCAGGGGATCTTTCTGACCCAGGAATCGAATCCAGGTCTCCTGCATTGCAGGAGGATTCTTTACTAACAGAGCTACTAGCTGATTAACAAACAATGTTGTGATAGTTTCAGGTGAATCTCTAGATATTTCCAAAACTTGTCCTAGAATCCAGGAGCTTGAAATCCCAAGAGGAAAAAAAAAAAAAAAGAACCTCTTCTATTTCTCTTTGTATTTATTTATTATTTTATTTAATTTTTTGTTTTTCTTTTTATTTAGGCTGCATACTCCTTTTCCTGGGGTAGTGGACACTAAGACACACTTGGGGAGGAAATTCTAAACATAAGCAAAGGAATTTTTCCCTCTTCTTTGGCAAAAAATATGGTTACATTCACCTAACTCAACGAGGGTGTGATGTAACTTTACTGCATGGTGGTTATGCATTTCAGTAAATATATTTCTGAAGAGTACACAGAAAATAGAGAAAACAGAGATTCCATTAAAAAGAGAAAGAAAAGAAGAAGGGGTGGTGGTGGTGTAGTTGCTAAGTCGTGTCTGATTCTTGCGACCCCATGGACTGCAGCCCACCAGACTCCTCCGTCCATGGGACTTTCCAGGCAAGAATACTGGAATGGGTTGCCATTTCCTTCTGCAAGGGATCATCCCGATCCAAGGACTCCAGGTCTCCTGCATTGCAGGTGGATTCTTTACTGATTGAGACACCAGGGAAGCCCAAAGAACAGATATCTTTAACAATTCTTGATGATGCCAGCTTGACAGAATAGTTTAAAAAGAAATGTTACATAAACATGACATTGACATGAAGGACTTGTTTCTCTTACCTTTTTGGACCTCCAACAACGGCAGTACACGGCTTTATCTCCCAAATCCTCCATGTCAAAAGCATGTACTACCTTCGGGTTGTCTTTCTGGATGTGAGGGTTTACCATAGATTTGTTGCGATGATCTTTAACATAAAATCTTTTGTAAGCTAGATAACCAATTGCAGCTGTTCCAGCAGCAATGGTAACAGCTGCGATCCATTCAACTAGAGTAGGGAAGGAAAACAGGAATAATTACTAAAACCAAAATGCATACTAATAATCTAACAAGAATGTTCAGGAAATCCAAGTTTTGAGTATTAAGCATCCCACAGTCAAAGGTTTTTAATGTTAACAAAATGATCAGAACACACTGGTGTAGTAGTCCCTTGTTAAAACTTTCCCCAGCCCTTACTGAGGCAATTGTATATTTTCTATTGAGTGATGTTAGCTAAATTAAGATAGAAGAGAGAAACGTAAAAATTATTCCATGGTTGGAGAAGGAAAAACAAGGCTTAGTAATCATTTAAAAGTGTTCATAAATAGATTTAAAGTAACCTGTGAGCCTGCACATACCTATTGCTTAAAAAAAAAAAAGCAAAATAACTCTGATACATAACGAAATTCAGATTACAAAGAAGGCCATAAAAATTCAGGTTACAAACAAGACCCACTTATCCCTCTTACTATCAGGAGGTGATTATGTTAACAAAATGACTCATCAGAGTTCATTTAAATAGTAGGTCGTTTAGTCATTTAAAAATGAATAACCTCAAAAAGAAATGCTATCCAAAGAAAAAGCAAGAAAGGACAAATAAAATTAAACCAACCCTTAATAGTAAACATTCAAAGGAATATATCCAGCAGTATTCTGGTCTTCAAGTCATGCAAATTTTTTTGTTTGTTTTTTAATTTCAAAGTGTCTCATTAAAATAAAAACCAGAATATACTAATTTCATAGAAAACATAATATAATTACAGTTAGATTCTCCTTTAATAAATTCTAAATTTCCATGATCCACTAGTGGATGATATGAATTCTCTACAAATTCATTTTAAATTTAATGACTGTTTGTATGGCTGAGTCCCTTCACTGTTCAGCTGAAACTATCACAACATTGTTAATAGACTAAACCCCGATACAGAATGTTTTCAGTGCTAAAAAAAAAAAAATTAATGACATTTTCCTGCCCAATTATTTGCTTGACTAACAGGCCATCTATTTATTCTTTTTTAAAGTAGCTTCTCAAGGATCCGTTGGAAATCCAAGCACTTAAAAACTACCCCAGTTCCAGAGAATTGTGGAGAGAAGAGGGTGCTGCATAGTCTGGTTAGCCTCAGCCTCAGTGGAGAGTTGTCTAGTCCCAGCATGGACTGGACTGCAGGAAGAAGTTGAACAGGGGTCAGGATAAACACACTGGACTGCGTCCCAGCATTTCCTGAGTCAGATCTTCTCAGTGTTTGAAATAAGTTCCCAGTCTATCAAGTAAAGCCCTAGAGAGATAAGTACAAAAAACACATTCCAAAGCCAAATAAAAACATAAAATGAATAATTAACTGTATGGCTTACTTGCACTACTGAGTCGAATTTCTTATTGTACTAATGTGAGTAATCACTGAATCTAATTGTACCTTACATAAAATTGGAGCTCATTCTTACAAAACTCTAGTGGAAGGAAACAACCATTCTACACTTAGTTTCTTTTATCTTAGTCTTCTCTTCTAGCTTGTTTAATAATTTAGTTTTTATCAAGTATTTCTAATTAGCATGTTCCTTGGCTCCTGTTTTCAACCACAGTATTTTTCTCTGCGAAAAAATTTAGTTTGTTTTTCTGGCAATATAACCCTTCTATTCCTCCCTGCTATAATCCCCTAAAACAAACATTAACTTTATACCCTTCCCATGTGCTGCATGACTGAGAAAAGTTAATAAGTCATTTGAGAGTTTCAAACCTTTGGCCTCATTGAAAGATATTTTCAGCTACACACCTTGTATAGATTTGTCTTGAATGTTATGTCTCATTAATCAAAAATGTTTACAAAATTTCTTTCTGTATTACAAATGTTATTTTTTTCCCTCAGTGATAAAGGATATATATTTTTTGTTTTTGGTGCCACTGTACATCTTATGGGATCTTAGTTCCCTGACCAGGGATTGAACCGAGGCCCATGGCAATAAAGGCATGGAGTCCTAACCACTGGATTGCAGGGGAGTTTCCTGCCTTGAATTTTACCTGCTTCATAGTATCATTCTGTGGCAAATCTAAGCAGGGCTAACACTAGCTCTGATTTCTAGTTTGATTCAAGATCTTCCTTTCTGCCGCATTTTTTCAATCATGGAATTCCCTTGAAAAAATGTCAGGAGGTATGGGAATCCACTTCTTAGCTAAGGGAAAGCCACTCTGAATAGCTAATTACCCATCACAAAATGGGCTAAAATAGAGCTTTGAAGGCATATTTTCAATTATGTCTTCTGAACGCTGAATCCTTAGGGCAAACTTAAAAGTGGGAAACAGCCAAAAGACTGAAATAAAATAATTCCCTAAATGCTGTTGATCTTAGTTACTCCTTACTTTTGAGATGAAATCTGAAGTATTGCTAACGTATTTGTTTTAATGGTGCCTACATAGTACATGAAGGTCTGAGATTGAAAAAGAACTACAATAGGCTAGGATTAATTTGTCTCAAAACATGTACTGTTACCCTAACCCAACGAGGGTCACTTATGACAGTATATAAATTTCACGGCACCATATGTGTGCTAGGGCAATGTCTTTGCATTTGCTCCAATGAGTTTGATAGAATCATACAGCCAGATAAGGTCTTAAGAAAACAACTTCCATCCCTCCCTCCTTCCCAAATTCTAATTCTCTAACCTCATTAGAGACAAATGTAAAAGTTCCCAGAATAAGAAAAATGTTGCTGTTTTATCATTTCATTACTGCAGCCTGAATCAGTCTTTCTGGCAAAAAGCTATGGATGCCACTGGCAACTCTAGGGAAAAGAGAGAAAAGGGAACTATATGGAGATAGACGAGAATGATGGATTCAAAAGTCAACAATTACAATGGACAAAGAATTGAAAACTCAAAGACAGTAAACAGATAAAAGCAATAAGCAAAACCCAAGTAACATTTAGTTCTTGATAGTGTATACGTCTATGAAGAACAGACACAATCTCAGGGTAAACAAGGGATTTTATCAAGACCTTATTTCTAAAGATATTTCAGTTGGCACCTTTCAGACATTCTTTCAAAATTGGGGTCCAGAAATATCCTAAGCTTTATTTCCGCCTCTTCTAGTTATCCTTACTTTCCTTTTTTGTACGCCTGTCTCAATGTACAGTAGTCCTATAGTTAGATCAAATGCTTACTTTGCTTAACAATGCTTTCTATCTATACAATTATCACATGTGCCAATATAGAAAATACAAAAAATACATTTCGAAATAATCCTTCCCTTTCTTACTCTTCCCTGGGTTTACATTCTTTGTATATAATCTTTGGTCTTCTTAGTATTAATTACAGATAGAGAAAACATCAACTTATTCCCAAACCCCACACCCTCATTTATAACTTATTTCTTAACTTTTCTTTACTGTGGGAATCATTTGCTTTAACCCAAGACAGAAACCTCACCCTGCTTCTTTTCCTTTAGCCCCTTTTCGGCCCCAAACTGTCCTCTCCTGACCAGTGTCAACTGCCATGGAATCAGAATGTACCCTCCGCCTCAGGAGACGGGGAGGGGAGCTGGGCTTAAATCTCTGCCTTTCTCGGGTCTCCCTCAGCTCCGTAGGTTATGCTTGGTAATGTTTTTCTTTCCAGGCCCAGTGTACAGGCAGTGTCCAATGTTAGTTCAATAAAAAGACACAACAGATTCCTAATTTGAATTTGCTACTCCATCTGTCCATCCTACTATCACATTGCCCCCAGAAAAATGACTTCTCTATGGCCTCATCTTCAGTATCAAAGTGTGGAATTCAAATACTTCCTGAGATTAAAAATAAAACTTCATGATGGAACACTCCAGACCAACACAGAAAATAATGTACTGAACTCCCATTTATCCTCACTCAGCTCCAACAAATATCAATTCTCTGCCAATCTTGTTTCATCGATAGCTCCCAAGTCCCTTCATTATTTATTGCTTATAACCTATAGGAGCTATCGCCTTTATTTGCAGTATGATCTGCACATCCCTTCTCAGATAAAAAAACAAATCCTTGAATAGTTACTTTAAATGACTCAATAAATTTATTGAACCCAAGCAGTATTTTTATATGTTGAGATTAAATGGAATGGAAAATTAGAGTTAGTTTCAATAAAAGAGACAACAATATAACGGTCAGAGGATTAGTTTTGGTTACATGCATTGTAGTGCTGATGGCTTCCCTGATGGTTCAGTCCGTAAAAAATCCCCCTGCAACATAGGTTGGAAAGATCCCCTGGAGAAGGAAATGGCAACCACTCCAGTATTCTTGCCTAGAAAATCCCATGGACAGAGGAGTCTGGCAGGTTACAGTCCATGGGGTCACAAAAAGTCAGACACCACTTGGCAACTAAACCACCACCTCCATTGCAGTGCTCAGGGTTTGGGTTACATAACAAAGCACAAGGCAGATAGCCTAACACCTATTTCATACCTTGAGAGTAAAGTAGAAGGAAAGGTATTAAGGATGGGAGCAGATTCAATGAGTTTTAGAGATACAGAGGAGCAAGAAGTTTAGTAAACTTCCTAGAAGTAACCTATTGGGTATGAGGAAGACTCCTTCGAGAATGGGACCCTGTAGCAGTGAAAGCTGCTTAATGTTTCTTATAGTTTCTAAAACTGTAATAAAGATTTGGTGTCCTATAAAAAGGGGCTTTTCAGGTGGCACTAGTGATAAAGAATCTGCCTGCTAATACAGGAGATGCAAGAGTCTCAGGTTCAATCCCTGGGTCAGGAAGATCTCCTGGAGTAGGAAATGGCAACCCACCCCAGTCTTGCCTGGAAAATTTCAAGGACAGAGTCTATCAAGTTATAGTCCATGGGGTCACAAAGAATTGGACACAACTGAGCACACATACAAACACACACTCACAGACATTACATAAAAAGTATGTTTGGTATAAGAATGTCAATTATACATCAGTAAGGAAAAAAAGTGGGTACCAAAAGCCATCTCTCTGACTGGGATTGTTGGATTATAATTCCAATTGCTCATCCTCATTGCCTCTCCCAGATTCAAGTCCTGACCTGATCTGCATTCATTTTATTTCCAGCCCAACCATTATTTTTTAAAATTTATTATTCTTATTGTAATTTATTTAATTTTTGGGTGAGGCGAGTGGCATACAGGATCTTAGTTCCCCGACCAAGGACGGGTCCCAGGACCCATGCATTGGAAGTGAGTGAGTGCCAGTCTCTCAGTAGTGTCTGACTCTTTGCAGCGCCACGGACTGTAGCCCACCAGGCTCTTCTGTCCATGGAATTCTCCAGGCAAGAATACTGGAGTGGGTTGCCATTTTCTTCTCTAGGGGATCTTCCCGACCCAGGGATCAAACACAGGTCTCCAGCATTGCAGGCAGATTCTTTACCATCTGAGCCACCCCGGAAGCTTACTATTAAGAGACACTTCTAAGTATAAAGATAGGTCAACTTAAAAAGTATCAGCAGACACCTGCTTGACTTTATCTTATACCTATAGACAATATATTAGAATACGTAATGAATCCACACACCTTTTCCAAAGGCATACCTGAAATAGAAGCAGCAATAAAGTTATAAATGACAATCATCAATCAGATGAAATAATTTAGATAAAGATTTTCTCTAAGAGATTTGCTACTCCATCCGTCCAGAGTCCTAACCACCAGACCCTCAAGGAAGTCTCCCACCCATTATTTCTTTCCCTGAATATAAACAAGAATTCTGCAAGCATATACACACCCTTTTATTTTTTATTTAACATTTATTTATATCGTGCTTTGTTGTTATGGTGGGTTTAGTTGCTAAGTCATGTCTGACTCTTTTGTGACCCCATGGACTGTGGCCCACCAGGTTCCTCTGTCCAGGGTCAAATGCCATCCTATTCCCTTTATAACAATATAATATATATAAAAACTATAAAACACATATATATAAATATATAATTCACTTACTTAACTGAGAAAAGACATGATCATCCTCCCCCAAATCAAAAGATTTAAGCTGATTTTCAATCTATAGCAATGAACAGGTTTGGTTTAAAAACAGAGTAGAAGAATTTAAGATCTAAATGGATATTCTGTCCCTTACCACACCACAGTATTTGTGGAAGACGGCACCCATAGAGGTGATTTACAAAGGCTTTGGGCCCCTCCCCATAGTCCTCACAACAATCCTTATGCTTTTAGGTGAAATAACAACTTTCGAAACTTCAAAATAAGTTGTGCAAATAACCAGCTCTTTTATACTGCATTAGTAACTTAAAAATGTCATGCGTTATCACTCTCATTCAATTAGGTGACTTTTGGCTACAAGTGAATTTGCCAATTTATAGAGTCTATTACAAAATTAGGGCACAAGTTATCAGGGATCTGTTACAGAACCTGGCAGTAAATGAATCAATAATGCTATTTTAATTAACTTCTGGACAATCTCTTTACCTAACTAATTTTACAGGCAACCAAACCCTGAGGTGTGGCGTTTTATATCTGGGTAAAGATTACTTCTATCACGCACCGGGTATAATTTATTAACAATTATATTACCACTAAGAGTTGCTATAAAGTGAAGCTCCATATTAATTGACTTCTAGAAAGTCCCTTAATTTTAATCGGACCTTCTGTGAAGTAAAATTTCAGAAAACTAGGTAGCAGCACTAGGGAAGCAAGGTTGAGAAACGTGAAGGCTCAACGAGCTGCTTTCAAATCCTCTCTTCTGGACTACCACCACCTAGAGCCAGATGCCAGAGGCATAACTGAAAAAAAAACAAACACCCCCAAACTGGTAAAACTGAAGACTTCGGATTGCGTTTCTTCCTTTTAAAAAAATGTGCAAAACTAAGATGTGATTAGTCATGCCTCGCTTGAGAGCTGCAGGAAACCCACGTTTTCACTCCACGGTGATTTAAACCTTGAGAAGGGGGAAGGGTTTTTTTTTTTTTTTTTGCTTTTGTTTTCACCTTTCCTTTTTCCCAAGCCCTGTGACCTAACAGAGAGGAGTTTCAGGGGAGAACAAGAAAAGCTAGCAGAGTAGCGGGATCATTAGGATTTAGAGTTTGGCTAGCTAGGGGAAACGAGGTCTAGACCTGGGTAGATACCTGCATGGCCCCCACGCCATTTACGCCCCTCGATCGTAGCCTGATCTCGCCCCTTTGTCCCATGCGGCCCGGGGAAGCTGCAGGCCCGTGGAGCTTTTGCCCTTCTCTATTTCAAGGTTATAGGACTGGCGGGAACGCACGGCAGCAGTATCAGTCCAAGGAGGTGCTGAGTAAGCTGCAACCAATGCGCAGGCCGCCAGGCGCACCCACTCCCATGCCCCACTTCACCTCGTACGCTGGAAGTCATACTCATGGCGCCGCGACTTGCAAGGGTGTGCACAGGACACTGAGCACAAACCGGCTCGCGCGGACAGCAGGACTCAAGGTGCGACAGGCGTACGTCCTAAGGTCACTGACTCCAAGCAGCTACGCGCAGGCGCCGCGACTGGCCGTCAGCACGTGTGTATTAAGCACGCGGGCTGATACTGAGCATGCGCGGAGCTGAGTCCCGGCCCTTTAGGAAGTGTTGACTACGGATTTTGACAGCCACAGAGGAGGGAGGAGGAAGAGACCGAGAGAGACAGCAACTGAGTTTGCGCAATCCTGAGGGGCTTGGTCCTGGGGCCCAGCGGACCCACCTTTGGAATAGGGAGTCCGGGCCAGGTTTTATGTCTCTCCCAGGTATGCGGATTTATGGGGGCGGATTGTCTGTGCTGCTATAACACTTGCCGTAGTCGGATATCTAAGATTTCACTCCCAAATTTCTTGCTTAGTCTGGTACCTGTAAGGCCAGGTCCAGTTTTCATTTGAAATGCCAAACACAGGAACCAACTGTGGTGTCCCATCCCAGAATCTCCCCCTCGCTCCCAGTGTGCACCCTCCCCCCCTTTATTTTTCCTGATTTCGACACAATTCTCCATCTTTTGAGCATCTTGGAACTTGCTCTAAGGGTCCAGTGGGAGAGGAAAAAAAAATGCGGCTCATTTCTTTTAAAAAACGTTCTCAAAAAAAATTAAGATTTCCTATCTTCTACAGTCTGAAATTAGTGTCGGTTTCAAAATTTTTTGAGTAAGTTGTTTATAGCTTGTTATAAGTTGTTTAGAGGCACCAATTTGGTGAGGAGGATAGGATTACTTAAAGGGTGTTTCGAAGGCTGCCTGGTTTTACTCCTATTGTATCTTTCCGGAGCGGGAATTGGAGGAAGGTGATTGCGGTAAAAGGTGGTCTCCCAAAACACCCAGGGCATCGCTTCTGCCTCCTAACTCTTAACCAGTGACTGACTGACCCTTAAGACTGCGAGAACCAGACGTCTTTAAGCCGGGGACGCGCTAAAACGCGTACTGAATGAATGAAGGACTAGCCCGTGCTGCACCAAGAGGCCCATCGGGTGGGGGTGAGAAGAGCTCCACTCGTGCTCGCCCCTTCCAGGTCCTTCCGCTCGCCGGGGCAGCGCCGAGCGCGCGCCCCGCCGCGGGGGTCCCGTCGGGCGGCCTCTGGGCATGCTCAGTAGCGGCGGCTGCCGCTGGTCGCCCAGTAGGAAGCTCGCGGCGGAGGCGGCCGTGCAGGCGGCGCTGACGCGCGCGCGGCAGCTAAGGGGACTGGAGGACGGCGGGAGGGGGCGGGGGCGCGGGAGGTGGGGCTGTCGTCGCCGTCAAGGCCCCGGGGAGCGCGGGGCGCCGCCGCCGCCGCTGCTCTTGGGCTTCGATCTGTCTCCAGGGCTGCACCGGGATCGGCAGCCGCGGCGGCAGAGAAGCGGGAGCCGAGAGCCGCCCCGCGCGGAGAGTTGGGCAGGGGAGCGCCCGCGCCTCCGCGGCGTCATGGGCCCCCTCCCCGGGCCACAGCGGGCACCAGCCGCAGGAACCCCCGGGCCTCCTCGCGGCCGAGCCTGAGCGACCCTCGGGTTCTCCGGCGCCCTCTCCCTCCACCCTATTTTTTCCCCTGCTCTCGCCGCCGCTGCCGCCTCAGCTCTCCGTTATGGCAACGGAGCCGCCATCCCCTCTCCGGCTTGAGGCGCCCGGCCCCCCAGAAATGCGGACCCCACTGGCGAGCGAGACCGCCCCCGAGGGCACTCCAAAGCCGGCGGGCGGCAGGCTCCGCTTCCTCAACGGCTGCGTGCCCCTCTCGCATCAGGTGGCCGGCCACATGTACGGGAAGGACAAAGTGGGTAAGTGGGGGTGGCGCGGGGCGCGCCGCTCCCCTTCCGCCTTCGCGAGACCCCGGCCGGCGGAGGCACCGGGGGGGGGCTCACTGACTGGGCAGGACGCCTCTGCTGGGGTGCACGCCGCACCCTGGGTCTCTTTCGCTTCCCCCCAGAGCCTCGCGACCGGTGCAGCAGGGGCTCGAAAAGTGGGGCGATTTCTGGGATGTGGGGTGTCAGGCCCGCAGTGGGAGGTGGCGAGAAAGGAGTGTCTGGTCTCCCCAGGGAGGGTGGATACTGATTGGAGAAGGCGTTCGTTGTTAGTGAAAATAAGGAACTTCGTTTTTACTGGATGGGGAAGTAAATTTTCCCTTGAGCACAAGGTCTGTTTATTATAGGCGGGTAGCTAGTATTGCAAAAGAAAAGGAATGAAACGCAGATGATGCTAATCTAAGGGCTTCTCTTTTCGGTGCAGCTGCATAGCTGGAGGGGAAGAAAAAAACAGTTTTGTTTTTTTAATGTTTGTTTGTTTGGGTTCTGTTTTGTTTTTAGAAAGCTTGTCCTGGTTTCTGTCTCTCCCCCGCCCTTTGGAGAGGTTTTTCTGATAGCCCCTGGATTTCTATGGGAGGCGTGGTTTCAGTACTGCTGAAACTCGGTTTCACGGTCGAAAATACACCCTGCTGTTGTACTAGGATGGTACACAGTTAAGACAGTCATTCTTGATCATCTTTTTAGGACTGTATCTTTAGCTTGTGTAATACATTTTTTGAGTCACAGCGTTCAAAGCACAGTCCAGGGCCTTTTTATTCTCTTGGTGATGTGAAAGTTCAGTTTAGGAACTGGAATTCACCTAGCTTACTCACACTGGTTCCTAGGCCATGATTACTGGGAGAATCAGATGAGTATGTGAGTAATGCGGATCTTTGACCTGGAAACCACTGAGGACGATTTGGTTTGTGCTGGTAAGATGATTCTGGTTTAGGCTAGTAAGACAGTACTGACATTTTAAGGTGAGATAACAGGCCAAGGCTGGTTAAGTGACAAACCTAGGGTCATACAGCTACTGTGTGGAGAATCTAGAAACCAAGGGCCCTGCCTGGTAGCACTTTTTTCCCACCATGTTCTCAGGTGGCCCAGTGGTAAAGAATCCGCCTGCCGCTTCAGGAGACTGTGGAAATGGGTTCCATCCCTGGGTGGGGAAGATCCCCTTGAGGAGGAAATGACAACTCACTCCAGTATTGCCTGGGAAATTCCATGGACAGAGGAGCCTGGCAGAGTGGCTACAGGCCATGGGGTCTCAAAGAGTTGAACAGGACTGAGTGAACACACACACATTGTGCTTGCAGAAAACCACTCAAGGATTTTTGAAAATGGATGGGACAATGTATGTGTCTTAATTGTCAGAGAACAACATTTCCCAATTCTTTTCTCTGCTTTTCTGTTTTTCAAAGTTAGGGGTTAATGAGGAGTCAATTGTATTCCGTTTTTTTCCCTTTAAATTGTTAAATTGTTACTTCCTTAGAGACTGAATCTTTTTATCCCAGCTGCCTCCTGCGGCCTGAGGCTCAGTTAAACTCCGGAAATGTTGGAAGAGTGAAAATTATCAGTTCTTTTGATACACCCAGGTTAGAAAACAAATAATTGTTCTCAAGTGCTTAGCCTAAATATAAGGAAACATTATCGAGGTGCTTAGAAGAGAGACATTCTCCTGTTTGTCCCCTCTGTTAATGGAAGTTAATTATGGAATACTTTTTAATAGATTTATACTGCATACCTATTGATTTATATTAATGAATTGTAAGGATGCTATTCCTAATAATATTCTAGAAGCATGAAAAAAATAATTGTTTCCCTAAGGGCCCCTAAGATGGACTTACATACAAAGGACAATGAACAAAATATCTGAAATTAAACCACAAACACGTTAGTGTAACTGCTGCTTATTAAAGTATGTAATAGTGAACCTGTTCAGAGTTATCTCGGACTAATAACAAATGTACCTTAAAGCTACATTGCAAACAGTGACTGAAAGAGTTTGTCATTCAAATGAACTAATAAAAGGAATAGTAAAGATTCTGGAATCTTAGCCTTAGCTTTATTTATTATTACATTTAACTTAAAATATTATTAGTGAAAGGACACCTGAATGATGATAATCTACTTTATTCATAGCATGGACAACAAGATGGTCAGTAATTCAAAGTTCAAATTTATTATGTCTCTGTACTATCATAAATCACTTAGAGTTGTAAAGTACATCTTGTGGTTCATACTTTGGCTATCAACTGAAATTCTCAGAATAAACTTTGCTAAAGACATTATGGAGTTTTTAAAAAAATTATTACTACCCTTTAGTAAACAGGGTTTTTCAGTTTAGGATTAATGTCTTACCTATTTCCAAAAGGGATTTGTTGGCTTTATTAAATTAAAATTTAAAAACATAGAACTAATAGCACCAAGTACTTGAACAGAAAAATAGATCTTGTTATATCATTATAACTGCTTAAGAAGGGTATGTTATAGTTCTGATATCAAGAGCTATATTTTTTGTTCTTCAGTGAAATCATTTCGTCAAAGTAGGTTTATGTCTTATTTTTAAGAATACAAAATATTTGCATTTTCAAGTTGTAAATTGTACATGATCTTTCAGGAAAAAAAGTTTAAACATTATATCAGTGCCTTTCCTCCTATTTTCCCTCTCCCAGGGCAATCACAAACACTGGTAACTTTCTCATGTATCCTTTCAGGGCTTTGTTTCTGGTCACATATGTAAACACATTAACACACTTCTAATTTTTCATACAATATATCTGCAACTTCTTGCTTTCATTTTGTATTGTGTTATATAGTATGTCATTTTCATGCTTATAATATACTTCATCTATAAAACTTTTGTATTCTATAGTGTGGATATGAAATTTATAGTGTGATGAAATTTTAGATTTTCACTGTTTTTTTTTTTGCTGTTAAAAATAATGTATTACACATTCTTGTACATTATAGTATACCTTGCACATTATACAGCCTTTTTTTTTTTTGGCCATCCTGCGGGCCTTGTAGGATCTCATTTCCCTTAACCAGGGATTGAACCTGGGCTTCAGCAGTGAAGGCCTGGAATCCTTCCCACCAGGGAACTCCTGGGTCTTGTTTTATAACTTTTTCTATAGGTATGTTTC